TAGTATAATTGCCATATGAAAATGGTGTGTGCATTTAGCAGGATGGGGGTTCTTCTTTTAACTTCTCATTCTTTTGAATAAATCTGGAACTTGAAGTTCTTTATTTTTACCTGATACACAATGAGTATGAGAGCTGGAAATCTAATTAAGATGTTATTATTTAAGTCTATTATTAAGCATTAATTTAGTATTCCCACTAAGGAAAAATAGCTTTTCTTTTTTTTAAATCAATGGTTCTGTCTGTGCCAATCCCCACTACAGCAAAAATATCAATCCTGAGATGTTGAAACACTAATTAAGAAACATAAAGTATGAAATAAGAATGCTCACTGCTTCCATGGTCTTGGTCTTCCATGATTAAGGTTCTTCTCAGAAGATAAATTATTAGAACAATGAATCTGTGAAAGAACCACTCTATTTTCTTGGTGGGGGAGGGAGGGGAAGTTTCTTTGAACTTCTGTATTTCTTCTGAGTAAACTACCAAACACGTTAAAAGACCTAAAGATACATGATAAAGTGATAGCATGTTAATAATTTTGCTGAGAAACATCCTTCTTTAACATGCCTGGGACATAAATGGTTAGAAATAAACACAGAGAATGATTGCTATTAGGTGTCTGAGAAAAAAACAAAGATATGAGAGGGACTTGTTAATTAGGCTTCCTTCATGGACCACATGGAGATGAAAAGGAAATGAAATAAATAAAAAAAAAAGAAGCAAACAGATGAATATTTAGATATTCTTGCAAGAAGTTGTTGTCTGTGATAATGAACTGTCCATGCTCTCAGTATCCTTACAGAGAATACCCGTCATTTCCCTGCATACATCAGAGGGAATGCGGCACCAGGGTGTCACTCAGGGATCCCACGGGATATACAACAGTGCTGATCAAACCTAAGGGAGCCGAGATGAGGAGACAGCAGGACCAACTTAAACTATAAGAGCATCTTGTTATGTGTATAGAGCAGTTCCTGCCATTGCAGTCTCCGTGACTGATGGAAGCCTGTGCAGTGATGGAGCTGGCGGACATTTTCCATTACAACCCATGTTTTTTAAATTGTTCATCTCTTTCTACAAATTTGATTAATGCTGATTGTTTTTCTGTAACATAATGACTGTTTTGGTTTTTGTTCTTCAGTAAAGCATTGAAAACATTCAACCTGATAATTTGAAATAAATAAGCAAAATGCTGTCAAGGGATACTAATTAGAAAAATTGTGCACATGCAACCTCCTAGTGTTCACTTTTGCTCTCATTTGTTTTACAGATGGTGCTAGGTCAAAGAAGCAACCTGTCTTTACAGGACAAACAGTTCTGAAGTTATGAGCATCTATCCATTTTCATCTATGCAGAAATTTTCCACTTAGCTTTTTTTGCTAACCTAAGCCATTGGTGATTTGCTGAGGTTTTCTTCTCTTCTTTTACTTTGTATAACAGGAAATCCTGTGAAGTGCTTTGTTGGAATCTAAGGTACAAAGTTGTTGCTTTTGGAATCAAAAACAAATGGAAAAATTTGCTGTGATTTTTTTTGCCAGTAAGTGGCCTGTGATACAGGAAGACAGGAACATAAAACAAACTTGGGAAAAAAATAATCAGGTTTCCAGATCTTCTCTGAGCAGACTAATGCATTAATACGTCCATAAAAATGTGAGATTGGACCAGTAGTATAGTGGCCACTCTGCAACCACTGAATGGTCCTAGGAAACTGAGGCACAAAGCACCTGCTGTGCAGCTTGGTGTCCCAGATAAGTTCCTAGAATTTTATTTGACCCAGTTGAGATGCTGATGGATAACTGTTATTGTATGGGTTTTTTGGAAAATCAGCACTAGATAAGTATTTAAAAAAATTCTATATGTTATTCCTATTGGTTATCAGTAGAAAATAATATGAAAAATAAAATTACCTGGAATCCTGCAAAAAATAGTTTTCTTAGTAGGCCACTGCTACCCCTTCAAATAGGTAGAATGTCTTAAATACGAGTGCAAAACCAAAATATTTTCAAATTAAAAGAAATGACTAATAGTTGTGCTGTACTACTGGGTAGAATTTCAAAACATTGGTACTAAATGTAGACAATAAATTGGATTAAGATTCTTAATTCCTTTTATTATTTTTTTTAAGGGATGAAAAGCTTTATTAGAATGAAGCTCATCTAAAACTTATTATTCTTTCAGTATGCTAATTAATAGAGCAGGATCATGGATTTGTTAATTAAAATAAGATACCTCAGGGAAACTGAAATTAATTTTCATGTCCTAATAGAGTTACCATTATGTCATTAAATCTTCTGGATATCTTATCCACTTCTCTTTTTTTCATTCCCTCAAAAAGTGAAATATGTTTTATTTAGTTTGAATTTAGAATTAGAATATTGAACGGTGGCTTACTGAAAATGTGGAGAAGATCAACTAGTAATCTTGGAATAGCTACAGCTGTCGTGGTAGTGTCAGGACTCATCACCTCATGTGCTCTGAATGAGCACAAAACTGTTCACCTCTGGATCACTGGGTCTGTACTACTCAGTAGTTTACAATTACCTTGTAAACAGACACTCCAGTAGCCTCCTAGAGTACCTTGGTAACATTGGCTTGTATTTTACAGATATGGAACTAGCAAAGCTCAACCCCTGGACAGACATCATAATGATTGCCAAAAACGTATTGCACCTTAAATGAAATGTCTTTCATGGATGGAAGGTGTTATCTGACAGCAAATACTGTGGTCAGCAGGGTATGTCCATGTTAGTAATTTAGTTTGTACAGAGTATTTTAAGGGAATCTCCTGATCATCTTGACTTGCTGTACTTGAGTGTAGATTTGAATAGTTTTTTCTGGAGTGTGCAGACTGATTCCTGCTGGGTGGGACCAAGTTGGAGGATGTGCTCCAGTCGCACACCAAAACCTGCCAGTGGTGGTCGACTGAAGAGCCACACAAGAGCCAGAGCAAAAGAACCACTGAGCATGGGGAGTCCTTGGTGCCTGTCTTCTCTTTCTCCAGGTCTGCTGCTGTTGTGCCGTGCTGTTGGCTAACGTGGACAGAGCTAGGGCTGTCCAGATCTTACCTGGCGCCTTGACAGGAGATCACACTGTTGATGTGACAGTTGATACAAATGTTGATTTCAAAGTAAGTCACTTCTACCCAAGAAAAAACACCTAAAATATGCTCAGTGTTTTCTGATACTCTGATTTGCCAGTACACTTTCTTCCAATTTATATGTTTCATTGTAGAGAAGGGGAAAAGGAGAGGTATGAGAGACATACTAGTTTTTCTTCTACAGCAAAGCACCGTTCTAATTTTACTTGATGAATTTTCAAAGCCAGCAAAGAAGTTCTGCATCATCACCAAGAGTGTTAATTGCAATTTGTGTCCAAGACATCTGTCATTCAGTGTATTAGAAGACAGAAATAATCTTATTAATTAATATGTGTATATTGAGTACTTTATCCCATTTTATCACAGGCTTAAATGGATAAAATTTAATTAGAAACAAGCACTAAATCCAGTTGTTAGGGGCTGCTGGGCAGTTGCAGTTTGGTTAGTCTTGTGGATGCTTATGACTTCCCAGGAAGAATGCCTCTTTTTACTTTCAGCCTGCATAGTGTTCAGAAGGATTTGGTTCCACATAAGGAAGGGCAAGATGCAGTTTTGTTACTGTTGAGTCTGTGTTTAATCAGCAAACAGAAATTCAGATGGTTTTTGAATTTCAGTTGAACTTGGCAGATGGTTTCAAGCAAAAATAAAAATAATAAGTTCATTTCAGCTTCTGCAAATAGATTAATCTCAGTTTACTAAAGTAAGTAGAAAAGAAGCATAAAATCTCTTTGCTTCCAATACACAGTTGCTCTGCTGGAGAGCTATAAAGTTATTCTTTATGACACTCAGACATAATTACTATTAAAGGATTTTTATCTAGAGCAGAACAGATCTTCAGGATAGATTCATCTTCAGGATAGATGTAAAAAGATTTCCTCAGAGTGTTCATGAGTTAGGGCAAATTCACTTAGAGGTGAAAGACCAGTTGAAAAATTTCCTCGTGACCAGCAAGGAGTTTTTGGTACAGGTTTTGATGCAAGATACAATCAGGCCTTCTATACTGCTCCTTTCTGGCCTTATTTTTTGCTTAAATCACATGATTTGCCTTTGTAAATCAGCCTCTTGATGACCACGCTTCCTCTGCTTTTATCCTAAAACATGCTTAATATGATTCAAATTGAAATATTTGGGTCTGGGGTTGAACTCAGTATTCTGGACTAATTGTTTCGTGCAGCTGTTTCAGGACTGCTGGGAAACCAGGATGTGCCTGAGCTCAGTAACAGTGCCCACAGCCCCTCAAAGGCTGTATTTTCATAAGAACAAGATTTTACAGGTGATTTTAAAACACCCAAACAAAAAAAACCCAATGAAACAGAAATACAGCGACCCCCCCAAAAAAAAACTTGACAAAACCAAACACGTGCTCCACAAAAAACCACCAACCAGACAGATAATCAGCCCCTGACCCCCCAAAAACCTTGTCCAAGTCCTGTGTCAAAATTTGGTGTGGAAGCTGTTTTATGAATTTTCCAGTTGATTGTTGTATGTTGCTGACATCTGTATTTAGTTTCTCATCCCTATCAATACTTTCTGGGGGGTGGTAGCATTAAAATTTCTGATTCATATTCTGTACCATGTACCATCTCGAAACATAAATGCTTGAAATGTTTCTTCCTTGATTCTTCCTTACACAATCAGTTCAAGATTGCTATTTTAATCCCATTTCTCCCAGTTGAGTTACACGCAAAATAAAGATCGGAGTGGTGAAGAGTTGTTGCTTTAAAGATTGTATTTTTCTCTTAATCCATGCACAACAGACACCTCGTGGAACAGCTACCTAATGGCAGTGCCTGATAAACCCACCGCCGACAGGCAGGCAGGGAAGGCAGTTCCGCAGCGTGTTTGCTCCGTGCGCTGCCAGCGGGCACTGGCTGCGATCCAGCCCCTCAGCGCTGCCGTGCCGGGGATCTGGCTGCGGAATTCCAACAGGATTGCAGACGTCCTTGGAGGGGAGGAGCTCCTGTAGACACCAGCTGAAGCAAGACGCCTCACAAACCAAAGTTCAAGGTGAGAACCGTACTAGATGGTAGCTGATTTCAGAAAATTATTCCCCCTTCCCCTCCCTCCAGTGCAGAAAGCAATACTGGGTAAAAATATGTAACTTGGGGCTTGTTATTGCACAGGGTCACAGTCTGATACTTATGCTCACGCTCAGCATGTCTCCCTGTACTAAAGGCAAGACTAGAAAAGGGAAGAAAAAGGCTATATAATTTCCTATTAAAAATTGACAGCAACAGTGCATTTTAATGCTGGTCACTGATATTTTGAGGAAAGGAAATTTAAAATGGAAGCAGTGATTAGCAATGACCCCTCTTAGCAGCAGGGAAGCTCAGGCATTGCTTGGTGAGGTTGGGGTGCATTTCATGATGCCTGTGTGCTGCTCTGACCCTGCTCTTAACACTGGATGGCACAGTGTTAAGCGCTTTTAACACCTGCCTGCTTGGAGCTCAGTAAGGGCTGGTTGGGAGTAGCTGAGTTCTTACCGGAACTTGTCGAGACCGTTTGGAGAAGGGCAGAGGCAGTTTCTGCTTACCTGGAGGAGATGATGTGATACAGTGGGGAAAGGGGAGTGTTGCCTTTTCCCTGCTGAGTAGAAGGGCAAATGTCTTGCACCAGGCTCATGGAACAGTTTTCCGAGCAGCAGGGAGCAGGACAAGAAATCAAACAGCTTTTCCTAATACTTTGAAATTTGTTGCTGTCTCTTGTTTTTCTCTTGTGAAGGTGTATTTTGTGAAACTATTGCCACACTCTGGCTGTGATGCCTGAAAAAATTGGAAGAGTGAGTAGGCTCCAGAGAAACAGCACCTATGCTGAGCCATATGGCATTTTTGCTCTCTTGATCCACCTGGTTGACTATTACTACATGCTTTCTGGAGGAAAGTCTGTGTTTTAGTTCTGTGTTAGGGACAATGATGTCTTAGTCCATGGATAGGTATCCTACAGGCTGCAGTATTTTATGTAATTGCCATTAACTGCAGTGCTGTTTGTACACCAGCTCAGCAGGGATGGATCTCTGAGCTTTTGTAGAAGTAGTAGTTATAGAAAAGATAAAATTTAATTTTTCTTTAAGGAAAAAAGGAAGGTTCTAGATGTATAAACTCTTCCAGCCAAGCCCTGCCTGCCCTGATCTGAATAGTCTCATTGATTTTAGTGGATCCATGCTAACTTGCACCTTCTAAGGATCTGCCCATCAATTTGTATTAGCTTTACAGCATGGGATGGAGCAAGAATATTGTGCAGGTAGAGGGAATACATGTATGTACACTCAGTTTCTTTTCTTTTTTTTTTTTCCCTAATACCTGTGAATGTGTTTCAGATATCCAGCACATTCACAGAGAGGAAGGCAACATGCTCTGTTTTAGTGCTTGGACTCCAAATGATAGAGGCAATGATATCCTTCCCCAGAGTCTTTTTCAAGGGGCAGGGACAGCAAGCTCGATGTCTTGGTGAAATTCTTTGCATGCTGCTGCTCTGCTTCCTGAAGTCCTTAAGATTTGGTTAGAAATAGCACTACACAAATCTTAAAATGTTTGTCCTCATTTCTTGTTTTTCTTGTGCATGTCTAAATAGCACCAAAGTATGGCTGCCTTTGTGCCTGGATAAAGTCTTTTGATAAAGTCTTCTGTTCCCTGTGTCGTAGTGAGACTGCTTTTAATCTTTTCTGGAGCAAATTTTGACCAATATGCGCATATTTATTAAAAAAAAGGCACCAAAAATTCTGATTAAATAAATATTAAACATGAAGTTTTACTACTAAGGACCTATGCCAATGCAAGACTATTGTTTGCAAATCCTACAGAAATCCACTGATATAATCTACTAAAATTATTGCTTCAGAATAAAACAGTAGGAAAAGGCTAAGAGGGGACATTGTAAAAGGTATGGAAATTTGTGAAAGAAATGAAAAAACCATGAAATATACTTAAAGCCAAGTTTTATATCTTTCTTTTACCTACTTACTGCAATTTTGTAAATAATGCCAGAAAATTAGTTCTTTGAGGCAGAACTATTTTGGGGAAATGTTTATTTTACGAGTGGCAGGATAATAAAACCTGGCTCCTGCAGGCGGGGGAACCTGCCTGTGCTACCATGGTAGCTCTTGCCTAGAACCTGTGCCAGAGCTCCAGCAGCTCCCCACACATCCTGGCTGTCCTGTCCCACAGCCCACCAATGCTGCAGGAGAGACCGGGGCTGATCCTGTTCCAGGCACCAGTACAGCACAGTCTGTGTCTGTATGTTCCTCTAGGTCAGCAAATGAACTGCTCGTGCTTCTCAAAAAATGCTTTTTAAATTTTTGAAACATCTTCTTTCAGCATATATGTTTTTGGTGTGTTTTGTCTATTTGAGGCACCTTTCTTAATGTACTACACTAGTTTTATGCATTGACAGAATTAGTTGCCTTTTTGTTTCCTTTAATTTTCTGTCTTTATTCAATTTTAAAGGTAAATGAGTGCCATCTCATCTGAGTTTTCATCTGTCATTTCAAAGTTAAGTTTACTATTATCCAGAGCTTTCCCTCTCCTCTTTCTTCGTTGTTTAGACTGTGTGCCTGCTCTTCAGGTTAAAGCCTCTGCTCCAAAGAAGCACATCTTTGGCAGGGAGAAAGGAAGCAAAAACTTGAGGTCATTCTTATTTTTTATTTCCAGTGATGTCGAACTTCCTCCTAATCCAGAAGGATTTGTTTAGTGCCCACTTTTCAGTCACCAAAGTTTTTGCCTGTGGACTGCCTTTTCTGGGTGTTTCCAAGGGTGAGGATAGCTGAGTGTGGCTGCTGGCCTGGCCTGAACTTGGCTCTGCACTCAGAGACTTCTCAAGCAGGCAATGATAAACTCCTGGGAAACTTCACATAGCCAAATCCATAAGTAGACCCAAGGCTCGCTCTTGCATTTGCTAATATAGACTATAAAAATCAGCTTCCATATAATTTGAGGGGTTTTTTGGGGTGGATTTTATATATTCTTCCTGCAGGGAATCAGCATCTTCCTGAACTGTAGACTCTGGAATTTAATTTGCTCAACCTTGCTCCTGGCAGACCATTTCATACCACTAGAACTTGCAATAGCAGAGAGAACAGAAAATGGTCCCGAACACCTCACTCTCCTCTGCTGGGCTCTGTGCTTAGGCTCTGCCTTTTTTGCAGCCATGCATCACCTCTGTGATCTCGTGATGATCTCCATGGAGGTTTGGGCACTCAAGGCAGAAATATGAGCAGATAAGTCAAGGTTGCTCTTCCTTCTCCTCTGTGTAATTACATGTGCTATGTTTTTGTATGGATAGTGCTTGTCTGTAGCAAGCACTGACAGACTGTTTTAATTCTCCAAAGCCAGTTTGAGCACCTCACACAGATAAGCAGAACCCTGTGTGGATATCTGGATGTGAAGGGGAAGGCATGGGGGAATGTACAGGTAATTTTCTGGGTCTGGGTTTAGACATGACATCTGTTGGAGGACATCCCTTGGCTGATGCTAAGGATGGAACACAGTGAGAAATCCAGGGCAGCTTTTCCTCCTTTGTGCATGGAGAATGTTTACTGGGGTCAGCAACAGGGAAATTACAGAATCACAGAACGGCCTGGGTTGGAAGGGACCTCAAAGATCATCTAGTTCCAAACCCTCTGCCACATACAGGGACACTTTTCAGTAGACCAGGTGGCTCAGAGCTCCATCTAGCCTGGCTTTAAACACGTCTAAGGATGGGTCATTTACAAGTTCATTAACTCCTTTGTCTTTACTGGATTGTTTGAAGAAATGGAAACATAAATATTGAATTACAAAGATGCGTTTTCTGTAGTCTTAGAATTAACACATACACGATAAAGAAGAATTTTAGGTCTGCTGTGTTCAGTTAGCCAGTGGGTACATTAAAGTTTTGCCTCTTTGTGCTCACAAAGCACTTTTCCCTCTTTCTGTTGGTGCAAATGCCTTGAAATGGATCAATGTTCCCCTGGTTCGTTGGCAGCATCTCCCCCTGTTGTCCAGCTCAGACAATGCAGCGCTCTGCACCATGAAGGCGACACATCTCCCGTTCTTTGTGAGCTGATATCAAGTAGACAGACACCTTCTGAAGTTTTGTGCATGCTGTGCGCTTTTTTTCTTTGCTGCAACAAGAAAAGCCTTTTCTTTTAACCTGGCTTCCTTTGAAGAAGTAACTCAGGAAGCTTCATGGCCTCTCAAGGTAAGTGCATCTATAGTCTGTATTTTTAGATCATGTTTACAGAAAACTACAGTCTTGTACGTTTCCAGCAATCAGCAGTCTGATGAAATGAGTGTTTCAGGCTAAAACCACATCAGTCAAAGCACAGTTGTTTTGCCTTCCTTTAATTTTTCAGCATCCAAGAGGCTCCTAAGGAGACTAAAATCTATACTAGGATGTTATTTGAATAAAATATGTTATAAAATGTTAGCATCTGCATTCAATTATAAAATTTAGTGTTTGTATCTTTGTGCTTAAACCTGTCAGTACAGAATGCATGGGAAGGGTAGGTACTGAGCCAAGAGTACCCCTGTTTTGCACACTTCTTCCCTATTCCACTTTGAAAATACTACATCAGCAAATGATTTTCACATTCAAAACTGGCCAGAATCCTGCTAACCATGTATGGAAAATAATATCTGAAGAGTAACTGAATTTAATCAGATTACTCCTATCTGGGTTTGTCTTTGTCATGTATTGACTTTTAGTAGCAGCTGGTTGGGTACTCAGGTGTGCAGAGGCAGATATTGGCCTAGGGAGTTTCAGCAATGTCTATCTATGTTTGTCAAATTTTTACCCCTCTTTTTTGCTCCAAAAATACTCAAGACATTCTGCATTTAGAGCATTAAAGGTACACAGCAGCAAGCAGTTTTTACAGCATTGTTGTACTCTAGCTATATAGGTGGGGTTTTTTATTTTGCTTCACTTTAGCCATATAAGAGAGATCTGTTTTTGCATATTTTTGATGTGTATCAGTTAGTAGAAGCAGTGAAATAGTAATGGTGTGAAATATAGTGTTTAGAATGAATAAATTTGATAATATACCTCATTTAGGAACATGTAACTCTATAAATTATGTTTGTACAGAATACTCCGGTATCATACAGTAACTTTTAAGTTTTTCTATATTAGAAATGAAATGGGAATCATCCATAAAAATAGTCAAAGTGTCAGAGTAGCTCGGATTGTCATTAATATTTAACGTATTTACTGTTTGATTTTTGTATAGCTTAAAATTTGACAGGTAGAACTGCAATTTGTTGTCTTTTTTCCTGTTTATTATTCAAGAATAACACTAACACTGGGCCACTTCGTGGCATTTCATGTAACAACAAGAGTTACGGCAGTAACAGAACCCTGTGAGGTAAAATGATGCAGAAGAGCATATAAAATATTTATTACCCAGTTATACATTTTTAAAAGCCAGCTACAAATTCAAAGGGGTTACTTCTTCCTGTGGTCTCAGACTTTGAAAGAAAGCAGTGGCTGCAAAGACAAATTAAGATCAAAATATTATTAAATGATGAATCTTTCACAGTGAGTTCAAATAATACTAAAGGATCTCATTTAAACCCACAACAGCAAAAGAGAGATTCATACTTGGAGCCAAAATTCCTTCTGGACCTCAAACTCCATCGTGCCTAAGTATTGTCACACATGAGATAAAAATTATCAATTTGGGGACTGCTTTACTGCAGAATCACAGGGGCTCAGCTAAATACAAGGATTTGCCATTTATATGGAGAGAGCTTCACAGAATCAACTAGGTTGGAAAAGACCTCTGAGATCAACTACCACCTTGTCAACTAGACCATGGCACCTAGTGCCACATCCAGTCTGTTCCTAAACAAACCCAGGGACAGTGACTCTGCCACCTCCCTGGGCAGCCCATTCCAATGCCCAATCACTCTTTCTGTGAAGAAATTCTTTCTAATATCCAACCTAAACCTTCCCTGATGCAGCTTGAGACTGTGTCCTCTTGTCCTGTCACTGGTTGCCTGGGAGAAGAGACTGACACCCACCTGACTACAACCTCCTTTCAGTTAGCTGTAGAGAGTGATGAGGTCTCTCCTGAACCCTCTCCAGGCTAAACACTCCCAGCTCCCTCAGCCGCTCCTCCTAGGACTTGTGTTCCAGACCCTTCACCAGCCTTGTTGCCCTTCTCTGGACCTGCTCCAGCACCTCAATGTCCTTCCTAAATTGAGGGGCCAAGAACTGGACACAGGACTTGGGGTGTGGCTTCACCAGTGCTGAGTACAGGGGAAGAATTACTTCCCTGGTCCTGCTGGCCACACTGTTCCTGATCCAGGCCAGGATGCCATTGGCCTTCTTGGCCACCTGGACACACTGCTGGCTCATGTTCAGTCTCCTGTCAGTCAGAACCCCCAGGTCCTTTTCTGCCTAGTCTCCGTCCAGCCAGTCTGTGCCCAGCCTGTAGTGCGGGGAAGTTGTTGGGGCCAAAGTGCAGGACCCAGCATGTGGCTTTGTTGAACCTCATACTCTTGGATTCAGCCCATCTATCCATCCTGTCCAGGTCCCTCTGCAGAGCCCTCTTACCCTCCAGCAGATCCCCCCCCCAACTCGGTATCATCTGCAAATTTGCTAATGGTAGCTTCAACTTGCTTTTTCTTGTTCTGGTAGAGCCAGTGTTGCTGAAGGCTGAGGAAAGATGTGCCTGATAAAACCAGTAGGAGTTTGTTGGCAGTCAAATGACTAAGGTGATCACAGTGCTGTGGGAGATGGTGCCTGAGCATGGGGTGTGGGCAGACAGGTGCCTGTAACAGTAAATGCCCTCGTTACCTTCACAGGACTGGCCAAGGTAACCATCACTGTGTCCTAAAGGTGTTTGTGATAGCAAACCAGAAAACACAACATAACCGTATCTGATCTTTTCCTTAAGATAGTAATGAGTAATATACTGTAAGAGGCTGTGTAGATTTTTTTACCAGCATTGTAACATCCCACTTGGGGAATCTGAGATCCCTGGAAAAGTTCTCTAATTAAGAGAAAATATGCATGCCCTCAAAATGCTAGAGAGCATTTTGGTGGGGGCCAGCCCTCAGCAGCTCAGTGTACACTGGCACACAGGGCAGCTCACAAGGAGCAGCGCTGGGTGACCTGTGCTGAGGAGCTTGTGGCCACCCTGTGTGTGAGTCCAGACCAGCTCCAGCCTTGTCACACAGGCTCTGTGCTCACCAGCCATCTGAGCAGATCAGGTGCATCTCCTGGTTTAGCTTCATCTGCAGTGATTCCACTTTGCATATTCTAAGGCTGCTTTATAAAGTGGATCAGAGCGCCTTAAGTGTGGGAACATCAGGAAATTTGTTTTGGGTCCTGATTCCTGCTCTGAACTGAAGTATGGATAGAGTCACATGCAAAATGTGATGTTACTGTTCCAGGTTTGATCCAAGAAGCTAGCTGCTCTTTGGCCTTGTTAATTTCTAATTTTTTTTTCCTTTTTTTTCATGTAGAATCTCGGGGACAAACCAACCCTATCTTTAAGGATTACCTCCCTGGTTCTTCTGACATTCCTGAACAGAATAAGCCTGTTGAACCTACAAGTCTCTGGAAGCAAACATCACACACTCATAACTTACCACCTGGTCTGGAGTACCTGAACCAGGTCCTGAATCTTTCCAAATATTAGAAATTTTATGTTTTCCTCGTATGCTGCTTTGATACCTTGGAGGATGAGGTGATTTGGGTTTTTAACTTGGGGGAGGTGCAGGTGGAGATGTAGAGGCTTTTTCTTTGTTTGATATTACAGTGAAATAAGGAGCGTAGGAATAACAAGCTCTTTCTTCATTGCTGTCATTCATTTTTGTAGATATTAATTTGTTATGCATGCAGCTCTCCTTGCACCAAAACCATTGTTTTCTTCCTTCTAGGACATTTTCTAGGTCATAGTATTACGAGTCTCATTGTTCCCTCAGTTTCCTTCCAGCTCCTTAAGAGCTCACCCTCAGGGAAATGACTGTTAAACTCCAGCTGGCCTCAAAAAGACTAAAGCAGGCAGTGTGTTAAGGAACTGTCACCTCCTTATATCTCATTCTTTGAGGAACATCAGAGTCTTCTGAGCAAGTTCCTTCTGCCTCTGCAGGTTAGAGGCTTGCTCTCCTCAGGAGGCAAGCTCCCAAGGAGACAGCTTAGTTGAGCGTAAGCCTGGGTGGCTACAAACCTGCACCCACCCTTTGTGGGGTTGAGGGGGAGGAAAGTGCTAATGCCTGAGAGAGGGAAATGCTTGGAAATGGGAGCAGACAAGTAGGCCACAAGAGGGAAGGAGAGGGAATGCTTAAGTGTTCTCCATCCTACTGCTAAGTGTGTGGCTGTTCCTCTCACTCTGTGAAACCTCTCAGGTCTGGGAGCTCACAGCTGTGACGATCTGCAGCTCTGGTGCAGAAGTTTCATATCTTCCTGACATTTTTTACCAGGAAGGTCGCTCCCTGGTGTCACTTTGACACTGAGTCGTCTGCATTTCACATGTGGCTGGATTCTGCCACTCTCATATATGCTGTATGAGGCGTCATACTCCCTGCCTGGTATGGGCAGGGACGGAATCAGGCCCCCAGTGTAGTCAGGTCATAATTCTGATACCCACATCTCTGCTGTGTTTGCATTTTGGTGATGATGGGAAATGTTTACTTCACTCAAGGTCTATATTTTAGGCACATGTTTCTAGTAGTTTTGTATAGAAGCAGAAATTGAATGTATTTTATATTTGGAGCTAAGTTACCTAGCTAGCTAATGAAACTGGAGACCCTTCAAAAACAGTCTTTCCTGTGGAGTTATGACTTTCATTTCAAGGTGCCCAAGCACAAAATGATATGTGTTGTCAATTACACGAGCATTTGCTTACAGACCGTGGAAGCTACATTTTTTAGTCTAAAAGTGATTTTGATAGTAAATACTTGGCAGGTTACATATCCAGGCTCCTGTACGAACATGAATTACACCTCAGATTTACCCAGACAATGTGGGCAAGCAAATACTATCGCTCCATTTTATAGAAACTTTACACCTGATATAAAGACAAAAAAGCAAGTTGCTTTTAGAACTGTAACTGGAACTGAAGACCTCATTCATGCTTGCTCTTGGCCCCATAACCATATGCCTGTGCTGCTAAGTGTTCTTAATTTTCTCTGCAGTCTGAAAAGTGGGAAGCATGTGTGCCATGCTGATTGTCAGCATATACCCACAGCTCGAGTTTCTGTGCATCACAGAACGTTTTGGTGTGTGATGCTGAAGTCATACTGTCTGTGTGACTAATGAAACAGGCTCATATAGGATAGATTGGAGCATAAAGGAGATCCCACCAGCAGGGAGAGGGCTGCCTGCAGAATGAATGTGGGATTCACAGCTGCCAGCATAATCACTTGGGATTTATCCTGATGGACTCAGAGATTTTCACGTAATGAAATTCTCCAATGAAGATGCTTCTAGCAGAATTGGGAATTGTTTTTGTGCCACTAGAAGACTGTGTATCCTTCTGGTGCTGTGTGTATTGGGGAAAGGTGGGTCCAAACTGAAACAGGCACAGACAGGTGCTACTGGAAGGGCATGGGGAATAGAGAACCTGTTGTAAAACGAGACTCCAGTTGTTTCATCTTTTAGACCAAAAAAACACTACCAGAGAGGGAACCATGACCGAGTACCTAGAAGAGTAAACAACTTGTGGGAAAGAGACACATTTAATTTATAGAATTATATTACTGGAAGAAATATTATATAGAAAGTGGTTGTGAATAAATACAGGATATCAAATAGAAAGGACATTCTGGGATTATCTCAAGCCTGAGTGGGGAAGATAGCTGGATAGATTCAAAAAAGCTGAATATATTTCTTAACAAGAGCATGATATGTTTGACTCTGAAACAAGGATGCAGATTTAGTGAATCTCAGAGGGATCCCTACAATCTTATTCCAAATAGCAACTCAAGGACACGGCATACAGTGTTGAATGAGAGGAAAGGAAAATATCTGTCCTATACTTTAAGGCCTGACAGCAATATTTCACTCTGCAGATATGGAGTTCAGGTGAAGGAGCAATTCAATCAGCTGTTTAAGGTGCACCAGAGAAGGGCAAAAAACTGCTTCTGCCTTAGCAAACAGATACCATGCTTTCTATAACTATCACAAAAGTGACACTATTTAAATAATTTCCAAGCAAAATGTTACCCAAACCTCACTGTCATCTTCCAGATCACAGCCATAACTTGAAGAATTGTTCAGTGTCCATCATAAAAATCAAAGGAAACTTTTCCAGCAGCAGGAATAGACAAGAGAGAACTCAGAGAAAAATTTTCTGACTAGCTCAGCCTCATGTTGTGCCACCATTCAGGCTTAACCAATTTTGTAAAAAACTTCTTAGTTTAGGCTTGGTTAGACTGATCAGATGTAAATGTAATGCTCACAGAACTGAATACTGAGAATTAGCTGTGTATAAGGAATTGTAACATATCTGAGCTTGAGAGGACCAGACCCTTGTAAACCAAAGGGCTTTGGATGCTTTCAAATGCAAGTGCAGAATTCCCTTAATCCACAAGTGCCTCAATAAAAATGCATCAGAATAGCTGTCTTGCAGAAACCAGTGAAAGGGAAAACAAGGCTAACAAGTGGTACTGCTGTGTTGTCTCAACATTGTTTATACATTGGGCACAATAAACCAATACACAGACCAAAATCACTCAAAGCTTTTAACAGTTCAGGCTCATTAATTTTCTCTTCCCTGTGAAAGTCTACGTGGGGCAAAGATATCCATATTAAAATCAATACTAAAATATTAAAATAGCCCTAATATCTTTAACTTGTTTATTCTATTTTCATCAGCAGAACCCTTCCTGTGAGCTCCAAGAGTTCACATCTCTCATGAAACCTAAACAAACAGCAAAGAGTCTTGGGAGAATATTTTTAAGTCTAAATATTTTTTATTATTTCAATTACTGGCATGCACATTTCAGAGATTAATGAAAGGGATAAAGAAGTTCCTCTTTTTACCAGCTTTTTTTTGCAGCCTGAACTAGCTGCAGGAGATGACTAGAAGTGACAAATGGCTGCAACAGTTTGAATACGTACCAGGCAAGATTTATCAATTGTAGAATATACAGGCACTGGAGAGCTGAGACATGCTGGTCTCAGAAGGTTGCTGTGTGCTTTCTGTCTGCAGCTGTGAGTAATGGCAAGACCCTGTGCCAAGCGTTTGCCCATCAGGAATTTACGGAAAAGACTGGTAAAGCCTAAATATACTGTCACATAAAACAGGCATTAAAGTCACATAAAACTGAAAGGTAGACTGAAATTAAGTCTTGCTGGTTTTATAATACCAACAACTGTTCTCTAAAGAAGAATAATGTCAGAGGGGCGATAAGCACAGCAAAGCTGGGTATCATGGCAAGCAGTTTTTCTCCTGCATTTGTAACCAGCTCATGGGGTAAGAAAATTTCAGCCAGCTAAGGTTTCTTTGTGGAGCTCCTGTTTTGCTCATTCTGGCACCCTGGAATGACCATTTGCCAGATTTAGGATGCAGAGCTCCTGTGCCTGAGATTAGAGCACTAAAGCTCTTGTGTGCCATTGTTGGCATCCTCTGATTGCCCTGCTGGGCTGCTCCAGCAGGGCCCTTTGAGATGTGTTCGCAGCACATTTTAAGCTTGAATCCAGACTTGTTCCTTCCTGTGCTGCCGTGGTGCCCAGCACCAACCTTAGCTTTGGGGTAAGGGGCTTCCCCTCTGCCAAGGAGGAGGAACAGGAGCAAGAAGTGGATCCTGCTCCTCACACACAGCTTTCTATTGCTGTTGCCTTCCTTATTCCTCCAGGAAGATTATTTTTCTTCAAATGCATGGGTGAATTACATGGCCACAGCACCCAATGTCACATTCTTCAGCTGTCATTTCAGAGAGAATTCTAAAGTGTGATTGAGACAGCCCTCAGGCACCCAGACTGTGCACCTCTGGAAGGAAAGAAATCCTAGTAACAGGGAGAGGAGCAATAAAAATAGACAGGTGACCACTGGCAGCCCCAGACCTATCCAAGACCCACCATCTTGTTTATTTTTTTTAAACAGCTGGACCGGATAATTATTCATCAGCAAGTGGAGCTTCTGGAAGGTATGGTGCAATCCTTGTCACCCTTTAACAATGCTGCTATACAGGTGTCTCCAAAAGGCTTCCCAAGTTTTGCCCCTCCTCACTGAAGTCACTGTGAACCCTCTCAGTGCCCTTGTGTCAGGCTGTAATGAGGTGACAGTGTGGGAAAGGCTCACTTTATTGTATGCCTGTTCTGCAGCAAACCACTGAGAAGAGAAGGATTACAGGGAGTAGTCTGTACAATAGTCCTAAATTCTCTCCCTCAGACACTTCCCTCTCAGTGTTATTAAAGTTTGACCATCATTTCAATCCACGGAAAAATTTACTGTCCTTAACAATAATTAAAGTGCTATGAGGAACAAAGCAAATAGAGAAATGAAGATCAGAAGACACAAAGTGAAGCATAAGAGTTTCTAATTACATGGTTTCTCAGAATTTCAAAGTACTGAGCAAGTATTAAGTTCTGCAAGTAAAATGTATTTCTCCCATTCAAAATTATTTTGATCTGATTCTTGAATGACCCACTGGGTGAAAGCTTAGTCACTGAGGTGGGACAGCCTCATAGTATTACTTTTCACAGATGATAAAGTAAGAAAAAGCCTAAATCAAAACTCAGGATATAAATTCTGTTTTAGGATATGTACTTTAGCATACAGCAAAACAAAGTCTTTGAACTAATTTCTTCAAAATACAGACCTGTCATTATTATTTCTTTATAATTGTGTATTTTTTTGTGTCATTATTTCAAAACACTTTTTTAACAATCTGTTTAAAAAATCTGTATCTTTAGAATACACACCCGTATATGTATAGACTAACATTATACTAAGGTAATGACTAACATTATACTAAGGTACTGTTCTACTTGTTTTGCTTTATTAGCCATACTTGGCACAGAGACCTCCAGCAAATATGAGATAAAAAACCATTTGGGACAAAGAGTTTACTTTGCAATAGAAGAAAATGATTGCTTTGATCGTAACCTGTGTTCGCCTATAAGGTCGTTCACCATAAGGATCGCGGATAACATGGGCCGAGAAGTGATTAGAGTGATCAGACCCTTGAGATGCAACAGCTGCTGGTTCCCCTGCTTCCTGCAGGAGGTGAGGGAATCCTAGATGCTTTTTGTTCCAGCGTCCTGCTGTATGTGCACGGCATTAACAAAGCTTCCTGCAGTTCTGTGAGGGTGGCAGGAAGGAATTCACAGCCACTTCTCATCCTGGGGGATTGGAGGCCTTCCTTTAGAAGTGCTCTTGATAAACGAGGCCCTTCTATGAGCCACGTTCCCAGTGCACCTCCTCCCTTTCATGGAACCTTGCTTTCCTTGCATCCCACTTAAAGCTTCTGTGTCTGATGATACAGATGTCTCTCCGTTCACATCACACCCCAAAATACTGCTTGCCCTGACACAGATGGAGACCACCCACTGTGGTCCAAGAGGGTGACGGATGGAAAATCCCTGGAGGCCATGGGTGTGTGTGGGTATGACTGGGAAGCAGCTCTCTGAGGAGGCTGATGCTTTGGTCTGTGACTCTGCCTCTTCCAGGCCACACATCTCTGGGAAATTGCAGAAAATGGAAGTGAGCTGCTTGGAGTGAAAAATGGAGATACTGTAGAGTATCAGATATTTTTTACTTGACTTCCATATTTTTTACTTCTTTCTTGTTTTATGAAAGTGTTTTACATTACACTTACCTTCTCAGCCCTTCATCAGGATTTAAAAAAAAAGATCCCCTGGTAGCACAGCTACTTAAAAAAAGCTTATAGGATACTCACTGATTACAATAACAAAATCTTTTCACAGTGTATGACTTTTGTAAAGTCTTACATATAAGATGTTCAGTCACTTCTGGTGGAGCTTTTGAGCTTCATATTTTCCACTATATTTAAAAACACCATTAGACTGTTTTGCAATATCCAATTCACTGTTTGGTAAATTTATATATCACTATATGCAATAAATAAGTGTTTTGGCATTATATAAACTGTATGCTATCATGGAAAAATATACTAATATAAAATTATTTTGAATCATTTTACTGTTGGTTTTTTTTCTTTTGTTTGCTAGTTAGAAGTTCAGTCCCCACCAGGTACAACAGCTGGGTATGTTGTACAGAACTGGGACCCTTTTCTGCCAAAGTTTACTATACAGAACCAAAGTAAAGAAGATGTACTAAAAATAATTGGCCCTTATGCAACCTGTGGCTGTTTTGAAGATGTTGAGTTTGAGGTATGTTTCTTATGAGTGTTAAGAATTTAAAAGTTTTACTGTTTTGAATAAATTTCTCAGGTGAGAGGGAGAATGGGAGATGCTTGAAGAAACCTTAAATGGAGTTTTCTGATGTGAACAAAGTGCTTTGCCTTAGTTGAGAACCATAAAGGCACTTTTGGGTTTATCAAATTATTACCCAAATCAGAAGACTCCAGTGGGTACTGTCTGAAATTTCAATATACTGTGAGAAGCATGCAGATGGCTATGTAATTGAGAACATATCTATCCCCTGAGGGGACAGGGGTCCACAGCAATGTGATGAGGAGCATATCGGGAACACGAGACAGGGAAAAGCCAACACTGTGAAAGAGGAACAAAAGTGTAAACTTTCACAATTGCTTTCCTCCACTTTTCTGTCAGTTCTAAAGATGCTGATTTCCAAACTTGAGACCCTTTCTTGTGTGCCACTCCTAAAGGCAAATTTGACACTAATAGAACATCTCGGCAATAAGAATAAAAGAAGAACCTGACAACTGTAGCATACTCTGCATGTCAGGGCACATTCATTAATTCTGTGGAGATGTTATCAGTGTGCACTTGATTTATTTACATTTGTGTCTGTTCCTGTTTTTTATTTGTGCAGGTAAAAGCTCTCAATGAGATGACAACAATTGGCAAAATTTCCAAGTACTGGTCTGGATTTGTAAACAACGTCTTTACCAACACTGCCAACTTTGGGATACAGGTCCCTGTAGATCTTGATGTGAGAATGAAGGCAGTAATGATTGGTGCTTGTTTCCTCATTGTAAGTATGCACTGTGAAAAGGTAGACCTCTAGAGGTGTGCAGACTGGGGCAGAGGGTCCATTGGTATCAGCTGTGATCCTACAAAGGTGTAAGTGCAGTGGAAAGCCAAACCCAATACCTAAAAGATAAATTAATTGAAAACATTTTAATTTTTATGTCTGCTTTTGTTTTTTAGGTTTCTTAATTTTTTGTTTCTTAAATAGTTTAAATAGTATTACACATGCAGTTCAGTATTTCATATGGCAGGATCAAATCTCAACATGTCAAACCTACAAAACTCCCTCAAGCCCCTTACTGTTTTTGAACAATTGTATGAGCCAAAAAAAAGTTATGTTGTTTCTAATGGTAATTTCAAACCAATTCAATAGTTCTGTTGAATGTTCCATGTAAGACCTCCGGGTCGTATAAAAATTCCTACAAAAATTCCCTTGTGAAAATGATTGTAAGATAAGAATTTTCTGAGAAGAATACTCAGTGTTAAGGGTAAAGATGAAGTTAAGATGCCCATTTTCTAGAATTATAAATTGATATTCATTGTGTACCTCTTCTGCCAACACAATTATGTCAATATTAACATGCAGTGGTTTCACAATCATCTGTGATACTTACAGAAAATATAGACTAAAAATATTTAAATTACTCACTGAAAAGTGTTTGCTTTAAAATTGCTACAATTCAGAAATTTTGCTTTTGTTAGGATAGAACTGACAGTTAGGGTTATTGAATTGTCCCCTCCAAAACTCCTGTTGCTCAGTGGCAGTGATAGAAAGTGATTGCCTAATCTAATTACTTTGTGTAACAAATGCCTACAAGTAAGACTTTTGATAGTAATTGTTCATTTTTATGCCTTCTGGTTCTTTGAAAACTCTTTGGACGGATTATAACAAGATGACAGAAACAATGAAATATGCAGAATGTGTTTCAGTAGGTAAAAATGAACATAAATTGATCGTCTTGCTTTGAAGACTTATACATTAGATACTTTCTAATTCTTTTTCATTTTCTTCCAGAAATCACTTGAGCTTTGGACGTGATTTTGAACTGCAAAAATCCTTGTTCCTTATAGGAAAAGATAGGGAGCTAATGATGATGTTTATTAAAATATGTCTCACGTAAATAATAATTTGCCACTTACACTTTATGTGTGTTGTAGCTAAACACATACTTTTCACACAGAGCACTGTTGCTTTGGAACAGTGCTATTCTCTTCTTTCTCTTTTGATGTTCCTGCATGGAAAATCATGAAAGGTTAGATGAAGGCTTGCAGCATCATTGATGAAAGTCTGTGTTTAGAGAAGCCTTTGATGTTTTGCAAGTGCTGGTACCAGTTACTAACCAGAGTGTGTTCTGGGGGTGTTGCTTCTTTATAATTTTAGAAGTAATTTTCTGATATTTTATTTAATTGATAGTAGCAAACTGATATTGAAAGTAACAAATATAAGGACATCATGCGATGGGGAGTTCAAGATGTTACCTGTTCCAGTGTGTTGAAAGGAGGGAAGTTATTTTGGCAGGTAAATTAGTTTTATGACAAAGATTGTTTTGATGAGTGGCAGCCAGAAATTAGGCTTCCAGCACTAGACTTGAGAATGTTAGCTCTATTCAGAAAATCTGGGCTTCCTCTATTTCCACTGAAGGTAGGCCACATATAAGATTTGAGAGATGGTCCTCTGTGTGCTAGAGGCACACAAAGCACTTCACTTTGAACTATCCAGTGTTAAGGATTCTTGCTGCCATCCACTCAAGGTTTTCCTTAAAAGGTTTGTTCTTCTTTATAATATCTGGTGGTTGATAATTTTTCATTCAGACTTGCCTGAGGCCATCCTAGAACAGAATTATTCTTTTCCTTTGGCAAGCTCAGGTATTTTCTGTGACAGGGCTGTGCAAAAGGAGCTTTTTGTAGTTCAGCGGTTGTACATAGCTGTTCATCCCTGCAGTAACACCTCATACTGTTCCCAAACATTCCCACTAACAGGTTTTTACTAATACAAGTTCATTTGTTGAAAAATCCGTGATATGTGTGGAAGACATATACAGAAAATTTTTTTTGTTGCAAAATATTTGCTGTATGAACTTGCTTATGCCTCCCAAAAACTCCAGCGGGTCCTTCAAGAAGCAGTCCAGTACCCTACAATATTGGTGGTAAACCCAACAAAGTCACCAGTCAAGTTTCTAAGGGGAACATTTTACAAATCACTGGAAATGCTGGATTTTTTTTTTTTTTCAGTGTGAACCAGTAATTCAATTCTTGCAAACAACCAACACATCAACGGAAAGAGAGGAGATAATGAATAATTCATAAAAATGAAAAAGAGCTAAATTTATCAGGTGATTAATTCTCAACAAATATTTAGACTAATTTTAAATTAATGTTCATGGATATGAATTCAAACACAGTGAAGTCAGGAAGTTGCAACTAACGTTCCCATAGTGAAATTAACTCAGGAATGCTTATAGATTTAAACAGTATGTTTTAGATTATATACCACACTTAGGTATTTATACAGATTTACATATGTCTTGAAAATAATTGTGGTTAACAAGCTCTGACAATCATCATTATCTGTTAACCATTTCATTACTGGCTCTCGCTGTAACTCTCAGCAGTGCAATCAGGCTGCACAAGTTATGAGCTCACAGGGAACCATTGCTGCCACTTTTCCCAGGAGGAACACCCTGTGAGCTTCGTGGGTAAGAAGCTCCCTCGTGTGGAAATTTATGGTTTTGCAGAGGAATAAAGGATGCTTTTTGCTATTCTCGCTAATTTCACACTCTTAAATTCAGCCCTTTAACTCCTGACTTACTCTAATGTAGACTGAGAAAAAGAACCAGATCTTTATATTATTTTTTTTCTTTAAATCCGTTTTCCATTTTAGACAGAAGTGAGTATTGTTGTAGTCCATAATCTTGGGTCTTGTGCAAAACCATGTTCGTGCACTGTTGTTGAGCTGTGTGTGTCTGATCTCTGAGCTGGATACAGAGCCTGGTAAGATCAGCAGGATCCCTGCCTATCTCTCACTTTTCCTCTGCAATTTCAGTCTTCTTATGACCCTTAATAAGCCAAAGACACCTCTGAAGCAAATCTGTCCTACCTCTTTTGAAGTCAACACAAAATAGGGTTTATTTACCTGCAGGGCTGAGTTTGGCTATGAGTGTCCACGTAAATACCTTGTAGGTAAGCAATACATGAAAATATTTTTTTATGAATTGCAACCAGATGATAATACTGGATTTCTTGCACCTAGTGACTTTATTGCTGTTTTGTGTGTTAATACAACTTTTTTTGCTGTTAATTTGTATGTATATGAGTATGTTTGAATGCCTCTGGTTACACTTAGAGGCAGCCCCTAGGACTTACAGAAAGAGGCTCAGCCCCTGAATAAAACAAGCACTGGGGCTGGGATAGCTCTTTCTGGTTAGAACTCCTTCAGCAGCCTGCTTGACTGAATTTCTGGTAGAAATTCAGTGCCAATGCCATTTTTTTTTTCAACTAGAATGTCGTTCATCCAAACCACAGCTGCCAAAGGCAAGTATTCATCCTCAGCAAAGATGATGGAGTTCTGAGTGATATTACTAAAGGAGAGCTAATGTGTACTGAGATTTTAATAACCTGCAGCTTATTAATAGCAATGTGTTTCACATTATGGGAGCTATGCATGCTCACCTTTCCACAGGCTAGGCATGGCTCTCCAAAGGATAATTCAGTATCTCCCAAAGGGTCACAGGTATTCTCTAAACCAAATTCACGTTCTGGTTATACTCTAGAAAAAAACATGATAGTTCTAACGAAACAGAAATTTTACTTAATCCAGCCAAGCATATATTTTCACTCGTAATCACTAGCCAAACTGTAAATCTATGTAGCACACACTCCTTGTGTTCAGTAGATGGCAGCAACAGCTCATTATGACAATAATTACCTTTTCACACATCATAAGCTGTACCCAGGATGCTGATTGAAGTTCAACATACCTTTAACCTCTAATTGAATTCTGCTCTTAACTGGAGGGTTTTATTTTCTGTGTCTGATATTAAACCTTTGTCACATGATGCTGGGTCATCTTTGTTGTCTGCAACTTACAGCTGAACTATGGGTTATTTTATGAGATGTGGTTGAGGCATGGGCAGAATACAGTCTACCACAAAGTGAGCTCTTCTGGTCAGCATTAAACCTATTTTTTGCACCTGGAGCATCTCTCCAGCTTCCACAGGTGGACAAAGGAGAAGCCCCAGCCCCAGGGCACTCCCCACCTTCTGCAGAAAGTGCCATGTCTAAAAGAGATTGCTTTGCAGTGGTGTCCCTAGAAATGCAGACGTTTTCCGTGGGTAAAATGTCATGTCATGCCATGTCATGACAGTCTGTCACTATGTGCTGTACTGAGACAGAGGGACGGAAAACCCCTGTAGTGCCACAAACCCAGATGACACCAATACCTGGGGAGGAGCTGGTTTGTCCCTGGGAAGATCGTAAGAGAGTAGAGACCCATTATCTCTGTAAGTTCTGAGATTTTTTTGTTGTCTAATAATTTGCTGGCTGCAAAAGTCTCTTCATAGACTTTGATGTGTGTATTGAAAAAGTCATTTTGTGTCAATTGGGTTATTTGTTTTAGGATTAGATAAACCTGGAAATGATCCAAAATACACATTTTCTAATAGAGTTGACTAAGTGGAGCTGTTTGGAAAAAAAGTAATATGAAATTTCCTCCTCCTGACCCTCATCTTAGTTGTATCGATTTCTTTTCAATTAGAATGGTATGTTCCATGTTAGAATGATAAATACTAGTTTAATTCAAAGATCAACTTTAGGTTTTAAAATGTGCTTTTCCTTCCCTAAAACTGGATCCCTTAGAGGGCAAAACCCACTTTAGCTCCATAGGGAAAACTACCTCTATACTGTGAAAGGAGATTTTTTTTTTCTGGAATCCTGAATGTTTTTGTAAACTTGATCCCTCTTAGGAATAGTTCCTTAATGCCAAATCTTTACTGAAGTACTCTAGTAGCACCTGCCACAAGACAACATCTTATTCATGACTTGTCAGCATTTTATTACTTCAATAATATGAAATGTAGTTAACAAAACAATTTTGAACATAATAGTAATTACTTTTTGGAGAAAGACAGCCCAGGACAGATAAAACTTTCCTCTTTCTTATGTATTTGTTAGTATTATGCTTACAAAAGCACATGAATGTTCACAAAAGAAATGTTAGAAGGACAGAGACTGATGGGTGCCCAGTGGCTGCGTCCCCAAAGTATGTTTGTTCATTCCCTTATCTCAAGTGACAGTTAACTCCTGCCACTGTGAAAAGGAGACCTTCAGGTGACTTTACATTGTTATGCATCTCCTAAATTGACACTGAAAATTCATCTCAATTCACAACTAGGTCTTATTCTCCAGTCTCTCTTTGCAAAAGCAATACAGAGACTTCTCACCGCTATTCTCACTTTAATTTTCTTCTGGGAAAGAAGTATAAACATTATATTACAGCATTTCAGTAGGAATCAAAGTCCTCATCTGCTCATATCCATCAGACCTATTT